GGTTCCCATCAGTCTCTATCTGACTAGTAAGCTCAGTCTCTTTTATGAGTTTGAAGTCTGTTCCACAGTTTTCTCCACATTATCCAGAACTTTCTATTTTTTTCTCTATAGTTTTATTTGCATATACTCCCCATGTCATACAGCTTACTTGTTCAATCGTATTAAGATCTGCACACTCATCTATCCTGGACTTTCTAATGTGATCCATTTCCGAGAGGTTGGCAGTGGGAGCCGGGCACCCTCTAGTTCTTCTGGTCTCAGCTTTGAGATCCAGGTTGACCCAGAGGCACTTTGGAGGAGAGAGGACATGCTCTCCTTCCAAGGAATCGGCCGCTAGACGCCTTAGGAAGCCCAGTTCTACTTCAGTACCTATGAGTACTCACCATGAGTCCCAGCCCGCTGGACAACAGATGTTTGGTGGGTGGGCACACCACACTGGTCAGCCTGAAAGAGTTTGAAAGCGACTGTAGGGCCCATCGCTTATTAATCCTACCACGACCTCCAGCCTTTCATCATTCTCGCACGTGGACACCCCATGGAGGCAAAAGCCAAGCCCACGCCTGAACTTCTCTGACGTGGAAGTCTGACCAACAACGGACAGCAGCAAAAGGACAAGTCTGGGGAAAGTCTCAGAGGCGGAATAGCTGATGTTGTTCCTTCTCTCTCTTGTCCCACAGGTGAATTTTGTGGCCTGCCAGCTGTTTGCTTTGCTCACTGCTTTCTGGTTCCGCCTCTACCTAAGTCCTGGTAAAACCAGCCCCCGTGTCCGGCACGTGCTTGCCACCGTGTTTGGCATCTATTTTGTCATCTTTTGTTTTGGTTGGTGAGTATGAACCTCGTAAACGCTCATCTGTCTCATGTGGATGTGCTGTGTCAGCGTTCTTGGCATTTCCTGGGCACTGGGCTGAGGAGGAGCCCTGGTGGCTCTGTGGGTTAGGTGTTGGGCTGCTCACCGCAGGTAGGAGGTTCAACCCCCACCTGGCTGCTCTGAGGGAGAAAGAGGAGGCTGTGTGCTCCTGGTAAGGTTTGCAGTCTTGGAAACCTTTGAGTTTGGATAGGATAGAAAGTGTCTGATTTCCCCCCTTAGTGTGAGTTCCGAGGGCTGGGTAGGTGTCTCCGCTTACTGTGTGGAACCACAGCCACATCCCGAGGAGCCCGTAGACATCAGTGCCATGGATCTTGTCCTCTAAGCTAGAGTTTAGCAGATTTCCCTCTGGCTCATGACAAGCAGGATGCTGTGAGGTTTGAATTGTATCCCCCACGGGCCACTTTGCTCCAAGCTGTGTTAGTCACGAGGGACTCTGGTGTTAGTCACGAGGCAGTCAGAGGAGGACTAAGGTGTCCGTGTAGATCTTGGGGAAGGGGAATCACTTCCAACAGAGAAGAGCCTGTAGGCTGGGCTTTCCTCTCCCAGGTCAGCCTGACGGATGCCCCACACATCAGGTGACCAGATTTTAACACTGGTAAAGCAGGACACCAGTGGGACACCATTGATTAAAAAATCCTGGCGAAATAGCCACATGGCAGCCAAAAACTGTATACCCTAGCTTGTCGTGCATTCTTTCCAAAAATGCTTCAGGATGCAGGACAAATTGTTAAAAATTGGAACTGTTTCGCCAAAAGCGGACGTCTGGTCACCTTACCCACCCAGCATTTTGTGAGGAAGAAGTTTCAGGGGTCAGCGCTTTTAGAAGCTGTGAATTTGGATACTTGTTCCGAGTGCTGGAAAGGTGCTCCTGTTTCTTCAACAGGAATCCGAATGACACATCAGGTAAAGGTCGTATGACCCGGGGACCCCGACGTCAGTGCTGGTAGAATGCAATGGAAGGACAGAGCATTCTGAAGGGAAATCCCTCTCTTGTGGATTCTCAGCTACTTGTGTGAGAAAAGTATGTCAACCAACCTACTGCCGTCGAGTCGATTCCAACCCACAGCTTCCCTGCTGAGGGTCTCTGAGCCTGTAAATCTTTACAGAAGCGGGTGGTGCTGTGCCCGCCTCTCCCCCTGCCTTCAGAGCAGCTAGGGGATTTGAACTGCAGACCCTGTGATTACCAGCCTGACACTCCCCCAACAGCACCCCCAGGATGCTTTGACAAGCACAGAAGCCTCCATGGATAGGTTGCTGACATTACGACATTACGACCTGTGTAGTTAGCAGGCTATGTCTTGACTTTCGCCTGTCAGCTCAAGATGTAAAGCCGTCATTTTCAATTGCGTGGGCCAGAAGGACTTGATTTATTTCCTCTGGCAATAACTGTGGGCTATCTGGTCACTTGTGTGTTGGTGGGGTTGGGGTAGAGTAGACGGTATGAATGGTCCATAGATATGTTAACCGAAAATGTACTCAGTTATCTGCCCTGCTCCATTATGTCTTCAAGGTACTCTGTCCACCTGTTGGTGCTGGCGTTGATGTGCTATGGAATCATGGTCACAGCAAGCGCCTCCAATATCCACAGGTAAGACTCGGGCACTGAAGCATGCAGGTGAGGGTCTCTCTGGTCTTCCCCACGGGGTTTCCCAGGGCAAAGCTGTAACTTCCTCATTCTTCACAAGTGGTGTGTTCTAAGTTCTCTAGACTAAGAGACAGATGGATGTGATCCCTCAGGAGTGGGAGTCTTTAGAGAAGGGTATTTGAACACCCAAACTAATCTTACTGCCATCCAGTCAATGCTGATTCACCACGACCCTTTGTCACTTTCCGAGACGGTAGCTGTTTACTAGAGTAGAAAGCCTGGTCTTTCTCCCGCAGAACTGCTGGTGGTTTCAAACTGATGACCACGTGGAGCGCAGCCCCGCACATAACCCCTATGCCATTTTATGAAAATGGTGGGATCATCTGGGAAAGCAAGTATCAGGGTTAGACTTAGACTCGGATGTATGTAAGAGGAATTCCAGGTTAACAGCGCCTTCAACGAGACAGAGCATTTCTCATTCTCATCCAGAGCTGCACAGAGTCACAGGTACTTACCCTCCGTTCTTTCTGTTTCATTGACTTCCACATGTCGTTTCCCGGATCTCGGCTCCCTCTTGATTGAGATGGTTGCCAGCAGGCCAGCCATCATGCCAGCGTCCCAGCAGGAAGGGAGGAGTGGAAGATGTAGCTAGCCCTTTTAAAGAGCCCTGGGGGCTCAGTGGGCTAAGCTTTGAGAGGCTAACCGAAAGGTGGCAGCCATGTTGCGGGAGCAAGCTCAGACAATCTGCTTCTGTAAAGCCCCACAGCTTTGGGGGTCCCATGGGGCAGTCTATGCAGTCTCTGCTGTCCCATAGGCTCCTGACGACCTGGAATCCACATGGTGGCAGTGGGCGTGGGTAGCCCGGGACAAAAATTTCACTTGTCCCTCTTTGCCCCAAACTTAGTAAAGGGGCCACACTTAACTTTCCGGGCAAGTTTTACCTGGGCTGGAATGAGGTCCTCTAAATTCTGGGTCCATTTCCTAAGGAGGAAGGTAAATGTGTGATTTAGTCGGCAGTTAGCAAACTCTACTGCAAAGCATGTAGCAAATAGCAACTTGGCGGCATTTCGAGCAGAAAGAGCAGGAGCAAGGGATGGCATGGGGATGGGAGTGGTACGCCCTTCAGCACTGAGTATGTTAAAGGCTAGGAAATAGTGGAGAGGGCCAGTGGGGCCCGTTTGTCTTACCCTTCAGGTGAAATTCACATAACATAAAACTCGCCCATTTAACCATTGTAATGTGTGCAAGCTAGAAGGGTCAGTACATTCACAGTGTGGTCTAACCAGTACCAATATTAAGTCCAAGATATTTCCGTCATTCCAAAAAGAAGCCCTGAATCTCCCCATAACAGACATCCCCACCCCCACCGCCCACCCCACTCCCTACCCTGACATGTACATGGCAACTACTAGTCTACTTTCCTTTTTCTGTGAATTTGCCTATTTTGGACGTGTTGTATAAACGAAACCGTAGAACATGCGGGTCTTTGTAACGAGCTTCTTTTAGCACAAACTTCTCAGGCTCTTCCTTGTCCAGGATCGCGAGTCCTTCTCATTTGCCGTATGGACAGACCACCTTGTGCCTATCCCGCCATCAGGTGATGGGCATTTGAGTGGTTTCAGCTTTTTGAGAGGTTGGAAGCATGCCATGAACATCCATTTATTCACGTCGTTTTCAGTGCCCGTGGGCATACGTACCTGGGCATGGAATTGCTGGGTCACATCGAGGGCTGCCACGCGTTGGAACCGACCCAATGGCAGTGCGTTCGGTTTGGGATTTGTAGTAATTCTACCTTCATCTTTGAGGACTGCACCAACTGCTTTCCGTTTGCATTTCTGTCAGCAACGCGTGTGAGTTCCAATCAGTGCACACCCTTCCCGGCAGTTGTTGTTTTCCGTTTTCTCATCATGTAAACCTGTTTTGCCATCCAAACAGGTGTGAAGGGGCATTTCCCTGTGTTTGCCTCTTTCCTACATCTCATTTCTTTTGTTGTTGTTGAGAGTATGCACAGCAGACCAGAGGCCAGCTCACCAATGTCTGCATGTACAACTTACCGGCAGGTTTACATTCTTCAGGCTGTACACCCTCGCTTACCTTCCCTTTCTGAGGTGCTCCATCTTCATTAACATAAACTAATTAGTCATTCCTTAAGGTTCCTGTCTAATCTTTCTAGTTCGTGTTGTTGTTTTGATCCCACATGGAGTTTAAAAAAAATCATTTTATTGGGGCTGGTACAGTTCTTATCACAATCCATCCATCCATCCATCCGTTGCATCAAGTACATTTGTACATTTGTTGCCATCATCATTCTCAAACATTTGCTTTCTACTTGAGCCCTTGGTATCACCTCCTCATTTTCCCCCTCCCTCTTCATTCCCCCATCCCTCACGAACCCTTGATAATTTATAAATTATTATTATTTTGTCATATCTTACACTGTCCAATGTCTCCCTTCACCCACTTTTATGTTGCCCGTCTCCCAGGGAGGAGGTTATATGTAGATCCTTGTAATAGGTTCCCCCTTTCCTTCCCACCTTCCCTCCACCCTCCCAGTATCGCCACTCTCAGTACTGGTCCTGAAGGGTTCATCCACCCTGGATTCCCTGTGTTTCCAGTTCCTATCTGTACCAGTGTACATCCTCTGGTCTAGCCGGATTTGTAAGGTAGAATTGGGATCATGATAGTGGATGGGGAGGAAGCATTTAGGAACTAGAGGAAAGTTGAATGTTTCATCATTGCTACACTGCATCCTGACTGGCTCTTCTGGGTCTTGGGGCCCCAATCTGCACTCCCCCTCATTCACAATGATTTGATTTTTTGTTCTTTAATGCCTGATACCTGATCCCTTCGACACTTCGTGATCACAGAGGCTGGTGTGTTTCTTCCATGTGGGCTTTGTTGCTTCTGAGCTAGATGGCCGCTTGTTTACCTTCAAGCCTTTAAGCCCCCAGACACTTTATCTTTTGATAGCCTACTCCATCAACTTTCTTCACCACATTTGCATATGGATAGATTTTATAAGAGCATCATGCTCAAGGGAGACCTTTTTTACTAGTTAAGCTAAACTCTTCTTGGATTTTAAGATGACTTCCAGCGGTATTTTGATTTAAGGTTTAAAATTATCTCAGGGCAAAACTTTTAGAGGTTCGTCTACCCTCCACAATGGCTCCAGAAAGTCTAGAGTCCATGAAAATTTGAAACTCTGTTCTGCATTCACCCCCTCTTGATCAGGCCACAATGCTCAGTCATGGTGGCTGGGCACCATCCAGTTCTTCTGGTCTCATAGCAAAAGCAGCAGCTTTTCCTGAAGGCTGTTCGTCACACCTTCCCTATCTTCCCTATTTCCCTAGTGTTCCTCCCTCCCCTTTTGCTCCGGGTAAATAGAGACCAATTATTGTGCCTTGGATGGCTGCTCGTAAGTTTCTAAGACCCCAAGAACTAGGCAATGAACTTGGAGGTAGGACAAAAGCTCTAAATGAGCTATTAGGCCAGTTAACTGAGATGTCCCATGACACCATGTCCCCAAACCTCCAAACCAAGGAACCAAATTCTACGAGGCACCTGACTGTGTGTAAGTAGCCTCGGCAGCTTCTCTTTGTCGTCATTGTTGTAAATATATCTATCACGTGACTTTTACCGCCTCAACGTTTTATAGCGGTATAACTTATTGACCCAAAGGACAGAAATCAGCTGTGTAATTTTATTCTTAATTAATGCCATTTCCCCCGTAACTGTTAAACCCTTCCTGCCCCCTCCCTCCCCCACTTGGTAACCACCAATAAACAACGGTCTCTGTACATTTGCATCATCTTGTTATATTGAGGCCATACGCAATATTTGTCCTTTAGTGATTGGTGTATTTAAAGGTAAGGAGACAAGCCATAGACCAGGGGTCCTCAAACTTTTTAAACGGGGTCAGTTCACTGTCCCTTAGACCCGTTGGAGGGC